GCTCCAATACTTTGGCCACCTGATGCGAAGAACTGACTCATCTAAAAAGACTCTGATGCTGGGAAAGATTGAAAGCGGGAGGAGAAGGCAATGACAGAGGATGAGATGGTTGGATGGCATCACCAACTCAATGGACATGAGTTTGGGTAAGCCCCGGAAGTTGGTGATGGAGAAGGAGGCCTGGCGTGCTGCAGTCCATGGGGTCACAAAGAGAGAGACACAACGGAGCAGCTGAACTGAACTGAACCTAAGACTACACATAAAGAGAAACATTTTAACAGATTAACATTTCAAAAACAGAATATGCAATTTAGTTTTGTTTTTTTAAAAAGAAGTCTGAACTTCTAATATTACACAAAGATGTCAGACATAACAAATTTTTTTTTAATTTGCCCAAGTATTGTAATTTTGGAGCAAAAAAAGAAAATAAGTGAGAAGAAAGAAAACTATAATATTAAAAGGTACACTCTATCTTAAAAATGATAATTCTATTACACAAGACATCCTTACTACTACTTCTGCCCCTGAATTTCTAATATTTTTGCCCTGAAAGTACCCTTAAAATGCACCTATTTGGACATCACAATCCCCTGTGTCAGTTGGTTAAAAAATACTGGTGGGGGGTGTCCTACTTTTAATAAATGAATTACAGTATCTGGGAAGTAGTTCCAAAAATATCTGTATTTCTAACAATCACATATGACTGATTCTGATGCAGCCTAGCTCTTGAGTGAAATATTAAACACTAGTTGGTTTAGCAAAGTTGGGAGGTGAATCGCAGATATGTCTATGAAGTACTACCAACTCCCTAAACAGATGATACACAGGAAGGATGGAAGGGTGGAACTAACACTGTTTAAAATATATACTTTATCAACACCAGAACCTGCCAACAGTTTGAGAAAAAACTCAATTCCTCTCTCTCCTTCCACAAAATAGATGCTTCCAGGACTCCGTCTCCTTAGTGCAAGGCACAGTACAGTGGCACTGTTTTACTGCAGTATCATTAGCTTTGTAAACTTCATATATAACAATGTTTCTAAGGAAAAAAGAATTCTAATTTTCAAAGGAACATCTCTGAAACAAATTTTCCATTATTAGATATGAAACCATCAATTTAACTTCTGTAGGAAATGGCAACCCACTCCAGTGTTCTTGCCTGGAGAATCCCAGGGAAGGCGGAGCCTGGTAGGCTGCCATCTATGGGGTCGCACAGAGTCGGACACGACTGAAGCGACTTAGCAGCAGCAGCCTACTAATTATACTATTCATATGCCAATAGTGATATTAACTGGATTACTATACAGAAGCCTAGCAAAAGCACACATTTACTAATAGGTCCTCCTGACACTAGACCATAAAATATTAAGTCCATAATCTTAACATTTTTCCTATGTAGCATCTAGTTTCTATTATTGAGATTTTCAAAGAATTTTTAATCCTCTAAGTTTATCAAGAATTATTATTGCTTTTTAAATTCTTTAAGAATATTTTAAATTCTGCCTATTACTCAAAAAATGTAAAATATAAAATCATAAAGCTTCTGGAATAAAACACAGTAGAAAATCTTTGTGACTTTGGGTTAGGGAAAGATTTCACAGATACACCACCAAAAGCATTACTCATAAATTCTGATAAACTGGACTTGATTAAAATTTTAAACTTTTGTTTTACAAAAGACAGTCTTGGAAACGACTCCGAGAAAGTATTTTTCAAATCACCTATCTTACAAAGGACTTGCATCCATAATACTTAAAAGAATTTTCAAGAGTTTGGAAATTCCTTAAAATGTCTAAACATAGTTACAATATCACTCAGAAATTCCTCCTCTATACACAAGAGAACTTAAAGTATATGTCCATGAAAAACCTGTACATGAAAGTTCACAGCAGCATTAGTCATAAAAGGAAAAAGTAATAATAATTTAAATGTCCATCAACTGATGAACAGATAAACAAAATGAGTTATACCCACACAATGGAATGTTATTAACAGCCACAAAAACGAATTAAATACTGATATATGCTACAATATAAATGAACCTTGAGAATATAATACTAAGTGAAAGAAACCAGAAACAAGAGACCATGTATATTATGATTCCATTTACACGAAATGTCAAGAATTGGCAATCAATAGAAGACAAAAAGTGTATTAGTGATTGCCAGAGGAAGGTGGGGATAAATTTGTAGTGATTATTAACAGGTATGAGATTTATTTTTGGAGTGTTGAAAATGTTCTGGAATTAGATGTACCAACAGTTGCACAATTTTGATGCATGCCACACATGAATGCCTCTCAAATTCATTTCATTTAGTAAGTGAAAGGAATGAAACTAAGAAATCAGGTCCATGAAGATACATACCACAAAATTCCATTTATATGGCACTCTAGAAAAGGCAAAACTGCAGGGATGGAAAACGACCAATGGTTGCCAGGAGGAAGGGTAGGAGTTGGGTGGGAGACTACTAAAGGGGCAGCAGAGGGAATTCTGAGGTATGGAAACAGTGTCAGGCTTTATTTTTCTGGACTCCAAAATCACTGCAGATGGTGACTGCAGCCATGAAAGTAAAAGACACTTACTCCCTGGAAGGAAAGTTATGACCAACCTACATAGCATATTAAGAAGCAGAGACATTACTTTGCCAACAAAGGCCCGTCTAGTCAAGGCTATGGTTTTTCCAGTGGTCATGTATGGATATGAGAGTTGGACTACAAAGAAAGGTGAGCGCTGAAGAATTGATGCTTTTGAACTGTGGTGTTGGAGAAGACTCTTGAGAGTCCCTTGGACTGGAAGGAGATACAACCAGTCCATCCTAAAGGAGATCAGTCCTGGGTGTTCATTGGAGGGACTGATGTTAAAGCTGAAACTCCAATACTTTGGCCACCTGATGAGAAGAGCTGACTCATTAGAAAAGACCCTAATGCTAGGAAAGATTGAAGGCAGGAGGAGAAGGGGACAACAGAGGATGAGATGGTTGGATGGCATCACCAACTCAATGGACAGGAGTTTGGGTAAACCCCAGGAGTTGGTGATGGACAGAGAGGCCTGGTGAGCTACAGTCCACGGGGTCGCAAAGAGTCCGATGCCACTGAGCGACAGAACTGAACTGATGTTTTTTCTGTATCAAGATCGTGATGCTGGATACGTGCTTCCTTGTATTTGTCAAATTGATAGAACTGTGCAGCACAACAGTGAATTTAGTGTAAAGTATTTTAAATTAACAAATCCACTGAAAAATCAAACTCTACACCAACCTCCACCTTGAAGTAAAAGCAATTTTCCACTACAGATTAAAAGCAAAGCACACCACAAAATGTTCTCAAGACTTCCAACTGAAGTGGGTGGAGACAAGTTTTATCATTATTTTACAAATGAAAAGCAGCACAGATTAAACTATCTGTAAATTTCCGGTACTAGTCAGAGATGCTGAGCTAGCATTTATGTTCTTTATTCCTGCAGTCCCACTCTCTACCAAGGTACTAGATATCAACAGTAGTTAAGAGGTTTTCTTTATCAAACTAAATTACCTATTTACACTATTAAATAAAGGAGAAATACCACTTTAAATGAGTACTTTAGAAGAAGGCTGCCAAGTGTGTGCATATTCAAAAAGACTAAAATTATATATATATATATATATACGTGTGTGTGTGTGTGTGTGTATATATATATATAAAAACACAAGGAAATTAACCCTAGCTTTGGCCTGGGAAAGACATTTCATAAGAAAAAGAATCTATTTCTAATGGGTGTTTAAAATAGATAAGGATGTAATACAAAAACAGGTGGAAGCACAGCACTAAAAATCAAACTCCAAATAAGGAAATACACCAGAATAAACGGATACAAAGTAAAGCATCAGTCCTTCACCATCCAACTTCACATCTCACTTAGCATAAGGACAGGTCTCTTTTAGGTCTGGGATGTTACACTGCGCACCTAGCTTCTTTAAAAATTCAGTGACTCAACGCGACCCACAAAACCCCAAGGCCTTAACAAGCTTGACACATCGCTGGGTCAGGTTGTAAATTGACAACACACCACCAATCCTTCGAGCGATCCCGCACAGGAGTTTTCGCTCTGTTATCAGCCGAGCCTCACGGACTCGAAGCGGTGAGCCCGGAAGGGGGAGCCGAGCAGCCAGCAGGTTTTGGCCATACCCGGAGGCTGGGCGCGTAAGGAGGACGGCATCTCCGGTCGCAGCTCCTGGCTTTCACGTGCGAGGCGGCGTGCGGCCCTCAGTGGGCTGCCCGGACCTCCATCACAACCGAAGGGGCGAAAATGACAGGGACCAGACGAAGCCCAGGTGTGTCTCGAGGCCGCCCCTCGCCCAACACAGCTGAAACCGGACCTCGAGGGGCAGAAAAGGGCGGGTCGGTGGAATTTGAACTCCAGACACTTGGAGTCCACTGTGGGTCCCTTCGGCGGAAAAGGGGGGTGGGGGCGGCCTTTCCATCCAGCATCAGAGACCCCAATCCCCTCCAGCCAAAAAACTAACTCGCCGATGGAGGCCCAGCAACTGCCGCCTGGCTCTACGTAACATGACCCCAAACGAGGGCGGCGGCAGGTGGCAGAGTGGGGCCCGAGGTCCCAAGAAGGCAGGGCCGGCTCTGTCAACGGAAGCACGGGAGGGAGGCGAGATGGAGGGACTGCGGCGGTCTCGTTACCTGCCCAGATGCCCAGACTGAGCTGGGACGTGTCCAGGTTCACCACATAGTCCCCCAAGAACCGGTTCAACACGTCCACGACCACCGACTCGAACACCATCTTCCTCAGCCGCGGTGGACACGGCGCCCCTTCTTCCTGCGCCTGCCCTCTCGAGCCCCTCTCACGAGACTGCTCGGTTCACCGGCTCCTGGGCGGCTCCGACCGTGGTGCCACCCGCGCCGGACGCGTAGCCCCGCCACGAGCCCTATGAGGGGCGGAGGCGGTCGCTCGCGCTACGCATGTGCGGCTCCGGATCCAGGGTTGGGCGGAGCGCGAGGCCCGAGAGAGAGCTAAGGCGGCTGCGCGGCCGCCTCTCCAGATCCTGCCCTAGTCGGGCGGAGCGCGGCTCCTTTTTCTCCTCGGCCCCGCCTCCTCCCCCATCGCCAGGCAACCGGACAGGTACCTGGAGTTGCCAGGCATTTCTGACCCCGCCCCCAGCGGCCGTCTGACCTCCCCACTGGCAGCGGGGGCGGGGGGCGGGGCGGGGCGACAGGGGCGCGGCGGTTACTCCAGGCCCGGAACGCCCCGCCCCTAACTGAGGAGACACGCCCCCAAGTGGGCCGCGAGGTCCTAAATCTGAGTAAAGCGGCAGCTGATTAAAAATGCCTTACGCATTAGTTAGGCTGGAGGCTCTCAAGTGGAGTCCCGGGGAGCTTCGCACTTATTATTACAAGTTGGGAAGTACAGGCGGAACCCGGGCGGTGCTGGCTTCCTAGGTCAGTCCAGCCTGAGTGTCTGGATGCCTGTAACTGCCCTGTTCAGTCTTCCGAGCGCTTGGAGAGGTGACGCAGTTGGTGACTTAACTTCCCTGGCTGCACATCGAGAGAGGAAAGTAAAGAGTGAATTCTGGGCTGTAATTCCATGCTGCCTTCCCTGCATCTGAGATCGCACTCTTTCTTGGTCTGGTTGTTTAGATGGAGCCGACTTTCATCCCTCAGAGAGTCAACCAGTCTTGCCTGACACTGCGGAGCGCCGTCCTACGAACACCTGAAGACCTAAGACTCACAGCCCCTGAGGCTTCACAGAATGACCTTAAATAGATAAATAAAAATTAGCGCTCTTTCAGAACCACTCTCACAGCTGTGTCTGGTTTTATACAGAAAGAGGGCCAAAGGCCTGAGGTTGTGAAGGCAAAAGATGCTGGACGTGAAGCTTGGAGAACTATAATTAATAACGCTCTACGGATTTAGGATGTAGGAGTGTAGTTTAAATTTCTTTCTGCATAGCAAATGATGACTTTCCTGTTAATTCTTGCATCATTTTGTGCGTAGTCACCCCAATTTTTTAAGGTTTGAAGGTTTACCTTTTCAAGTAGAATGTCTGGAAAAATACAGTGTAAAATCTTATTTTACATGAGTTGATGAATTGCTTTCCTATAATTTCATATTTGAAGGGGCCTTAATTAGGTCACAGTTCAAGCTCTTGGGCTTTAAGATAATAAAGCTGCAATGTTAGGGATTTGCCCAAGGTGACAGGACTCATTTTCTGCAGAAACAGATGGAACCTGTTAGTTCTGCCTGACTCCACTCCATCATCTCACCTGCTCCTCCTGTATTTGGCTAATGACATTGCAAATCTACCTCAGAATACCTGAACAGAGAAATTAATGGAAGCTAAAATGCCTAGTGAAGGGGAAACCTGTATGTCATCAGGGATTTTGCTACTATACTGTGATAAGCCACATATACAGCAGCTACAAAATTCCACTATTATATCTAGCACAAGTTTAAAGTACAAGAAATTCCAGAACTCATTCCAAAAATATGTTTTAGTAGCTTGCAAACACCTCACACTAGTTTTATACAGTCCATGAAAATCCTGTAGAATTGGGTGAGGGGAGTGTCCTGCTAAAATTTTAGAAGTATTAGCTTTTATTTGCTAAAGAGACCAATGAAAAAAATTCTGAGAAACTGTTGGAAATAAAAAACACGATGCATGTTCTAACAATTCTTGTCTACTGTTAGGTGCTATGTCATAAACATGTTTCCTAAGTATTAAAAGGTACAATTTTCATGTTGCTTAATCCATCTTAGGAATTTTGTAAGCAAAACTAATACCATCATATAAAAGATAAGTGTATTTATTAAACCATTAAATCAAATCTCTGTTGAACCTTGAAAAATAAGCCCAGGGATTACCAATAAGATGCTGAAGTTTCAATTTTGAAAATGTACCAGTGTAAGGTGTTTTTCCCTCCATATCTTAATTCATTGTTTTATCAAATAAAAAAGAAAAGCTTTTTGAGTGACCACAAACTGCAATATCGTCCAACTGTGCAATAGATTAATAACTTTGTAAGTTAGATTTGCTATGATCTTGTGCTTAGTTTACATACTACAGCTTTCTGTCTCTGAAGTTTGGGTATGCTGGTAGTAATGCTGGACATTTTTTCCTCCTAACTGTGATTCCTCTGTCCAAAAGTGCATGTCATTGCTGTGCTGCTTCTGTTTATCATCCCCCTCCTGAGGTCAGTATTGAGGAACTAAGCTAGACATTCAGATAACAAAGCCAATGAAGCACACCTCCTTTCTGAAAACTGTCTTGGAGGAACAAGTCTAGAAGATGGAGATTTTATAGGACTTTTACTGACCTGGCCTCATAAAGCTCTACACTCCTATCTCAGTTAACAGTTTAAAAATTATAAACAATCAGAAGTTATTTGGATGTGTGTGTTCCAGTCCTAATAAAAAAAAGAGAGAGAAATTTGTTAGAAGGGAGACCTACGGAAAAGGTTGAGAAACTTACAAGAACCTTATTCAGGCAGTGCATGTGAAAATTTAAATCAACAGTATTTCTAAAGGGCAGTTTAAAACATGTGCAAACTGACATATACATGTCTATGTATATACTTGTGCTTATGATTTAGCTCAGCAATCCCACTTCTAGAGATTTACTCTAAGAAAATAATTATAAAAATTCAAAAAGCTATCCCACAAATATATTCATTAAAGCATTATTTATAATAGCAAAAAATTAGAAACAATCTAAATGTCCATTAATAGGGAACATGGTTAAGTAAACACACACACGTTACTATACAGCTTTAAAAATGATGAAGATCTATACTAATATGGAAAGAAGTCAATACTATACCCTTGTGACAAACAAGGTACAGTATATGAAGTATGTAAATTATGGATGTGTTTTAAATGTTCAGAGAACATATATAAAGAATATATATTATATTTATATTATATATAAAGAATATATTCTTTATATATCATATATATATATTTATATATATATATAAAGAAATCGATGTATGCTCACCAAATGTTAACGGTGGTTATCTAGATAATGAGACTTTGGGTAATATGTATTTTCTCTGTTCTTTCGAGCTTAAAAAAACATGTTTTACAGTGAGTATGTATCTTTTCCCCAAATCAAGAAATCTGTCTAAACAAAGTAAGATAAATACAAATCAAGTATAATATCATTTCTCTTACTAATACTAATTGAATTTCTTTTAGTCTAAAGCAAATCATCTTTGGAGATTTTGAACCAAAGAAACTGAATTTTATTACATTCAGCTATATGCTGTACACTTGGAACATTTTTTAAAAGATGAAAAATAAATTTATTCTTCTAAACTGGTGAAGAGGGATGTATCAGAAATGTTATTTTAGTGTATATTCTTTTGTAATGCTTCAGGAAACTGCATGTGCACATAGATAAACTACTCTTCCTGAAATTAGAGGCAACTGAAGTTTGTTAGCAAGGTCCCAATCCTGGTGGAGAATTAATATAGAAACATATGTGAATTCTCAAATATTAGCCAAAAGACGTGAACAGACATTTCCTGAAAAGGATATACAGGTGGCAAATATCACATGAAAATATTCTCAACATCATTAACCATTGGGGAAATGGCTAAAACCACAAATGAGCAATCACTACATACCATCAGAATGGCTGTAAAAAGGAAAAGTGATAACTCAAAATGCTAGTGAAGGACTTCCCTGGTGGTACAGTGGATAAGAATCAGCCTTCCAATGCAGGTGACATGGGTTTGATCCCTGGTCCGGGAAGACTCCACATGTCGCAAGGCAACCAAGCCAGGATGCCACAACTACTGAACCTGCATGCCTAGAGCCTGTGGTCCACAACAGAAGCCCCCGCATGGCAGCAAAGAGTCATACCCACTCTTTGGAACTAGAGAAAGCCTGCACACAGTGACAAAGACCCAACACAGCCCCAAAAAATACTTATTTTAAAAAATGCCAGTAAGGTTGTGGAGAAATTGAATCATTTATGTATCAATGAGTGGCTTCCCTGGTCCATGGTATCACAAAGAGTTGGACGTGACTGAACAACTTTCACACATACACGCATGCATCAGTGGAGTGCTTCCCAGGTGGCACTGTGGTAAAGAATCTGTCTGCCAGTGCTGGAGATGCAAGAGAAGTGGATCCTATCCCTGGGTTGGGAGGAACCCTTGAAGAAGGAAATGGCAGCCCACTCCAGTATTCATCCCTGGATAATGCCCAAGACAAAGGAGCCTGGAGGCTACAGTCCACAGGGTCGCAAAAGATTCGGACACGACTGAGTGACTAAGCACGCAAGTATGCATGCATCAGTGGTGAGAAAGTGAGAGGGTATGACCATTCTGGAAAACAGTTTAGCAGTTTCTAAAAAATAATAATGAAATAAATAAACACCGTCTGAACCAGCGTTTATAGTCCTGAACATTTATCCCAGAGAAAGGAAAATATATGTTCACACAAAAACTCATACATGAATGTTCGTAGCAGTTTTATTCATAATAGGCAAAAACTGGAAATTACCCAAGTGTTTTCCAACAGATGAATGGTTAAATAAACTGTTACATACCCACACCATGGAATACTACACAGCAATGAACATAACAAACTCTTGATATATGTAACAATTTGGATGGATTTCTGGGGAATTACCTGAATGAAAAATATGATACAAATTATAAAAATAGAGAACAGATTAGAAGTTGCCGAAGGTTAGATATAGGATGGAGAGACAGGTGTGGCTACAAATGAATAGCAGCAAGGGACCTTGTATTTTTGGAATAATTCTGCATCTTGATTGTGGTAGTAATTACATATAACTGCATAAAATATACACAAATGAGTGCATATAAAACTGATAAAATCTGAATAAGCACTGGTACCATAAGTGGTACCAATATATTTGTTTCCTGGTTTTGATATTGCACTATAGCTATGCAAGATGTTACCTTTGAGGGGCATGATGAAAGGTACATGGGACCTCCCTATAAATTTCTTCTGCAACTTTCTATAAATGTATAATTACCTTGAAGCAATATTTTTAAAGTTTTTGTTAATTTGGGGTCCACTAAGGGATACATCTAAGGATCAAATGAGCCTGAATTAAGAGATTCCATACAGTGCTTTAATGCTGTTATGCAAGATACTTGGTAAAATATTTGTCAACTGAAAAAAAAAATGCACAACCTAAGTAAAAGTTGAGAATTTGGTGAATATTCTGACACAGCATCTCAGGCAATGCTGAGAAACTGTTCTGAAGAGGCAAGGTGGGGAGCCAGGGTAAATAGGAGTTTTTGCAACAGAAGTCCAGGTATTCAGAATGTCAAAATGTTACTGTTAATAAAAGAAAATCAGATATCTCAAGTTAAGGCATTTAGTATTTTTCTATGTATGCAAAGATGCTGGGCTCACTTAAATCATTCTTTCAATACACACCTGAGCTATCTGGGGTCCGTATCCCATGTTTCCTCATTCTGAGCTTCCTCAGGGCACACCATCGGGGGTGGCTGTAGTGGCTGAATGCCAGATGGCCTTGGCCAAGAGCAGCCCGTTTGTCTCCATTCTGAGTTCCTTCAGAGTTCACCATCTAAGTGGTTGTCATGTGATGGCTTGATGGCTATAACATCCTTTGTTTACTGAAATGGCAAGCAATATTTTAGTTCACATATTTAAGAAGGAAAAGTATCTGAATGTGACACCTTATCAGGAAGCAATAAAATACCAATTATTCTGCAGTCCCAGTAAAATACTAGAGAGAGATACAATAATGGATTTTTCAAGCATCTTCCTCTGGCTCAAAATATCTAAAATGTGTGACCCCTTCCCAGATTAAAAGGAGTCCCAAATGCTGATGTCCATCAATGCTTGCTGACCCCAGATTTTTACATGGCTGATTGTTTATCATTCAGGCCTCTGCTCAAATGTTGTTGTTCAGTTGCTAAGTTGTGTCCGACTCTTTGGGACCCCATGGACTGCAGCACTCCGGGATTTCCTGTCCCTCACCATATTCCGGAGTTTGCCGAAGTTCATGTCCATTCAACTGGTGATGACATCCAACCAGCTCATCCTCTGCTCAAATATCTAAGGCCTAATCAGGGAACTTCCCTGTCCTTTCCTTCTCAAGTAGCCATCTGTCATACTCTGTCATAGCCACCTTTTTATCTTCATGTCATTTATCACTCTCTGAAATTATCTTCTTTACAGGTTTTAAAATTTCCTGTCTCCCCATCACCGCTATTTCTAGACAGGGTGCTAATGTGTCTAGTCTACTGTTTTTTTCCTCAGTACATGGGTGTTTGGCACACAGTAGGTTTTCAATACATTTTTGTTGAAAGAATGAACAAATGTTGGATAAGAAGTCACCCCCAACTCTCATGAGACTGAACATACCACCAGAGAAGTAGGTTAATGAGCCGAGGCCAACTTAAGGAGAGGGTATTCGTAGGATACAAAAAGGAGAGACTGTGG